TGCTTGAACTGCTGTAACCGCTGAACAGCGCAAACTCAAATACCCTGTTGAAGCTTCGTGACTCTGCAGAAATCTTCAAAGTCTTGCAAACTCAGACTCTCTCAGACGAACTTCGAGGCTCCTACATAACCAGACAACCAACCCTTCACCATCGAGGGCTCTCCCAAAAAGACTTCATCCGAACAACAGATCGGCAACCAATCAGAAGCACCGGGATTCCCTGAGACAAGCCACAGAGGAAACCCCGCTCAGCTTTCACCAAAATGCAAGTAAACAAACAAAGCTTCATCTCTTGCTGAACTGGTGCGAATTGATCTTAAGCAGTAAAGATAAGTCAAATCTCTGCTTTGTGACTCTCTCAGGTTGCGATCTAAGAACTAGTAACAAGTACTTGAATTTTGGGACTTCAGTCAAACTCCATTAACTCTCATCCTCTGAACTGTATGTGTGTGTGCGTATCTGTGCGTGTCTGTGTGCTTTTGGTAGTTTTAGTTCCATGTAATCTAGAGTAACAAATAAATTCTTGTTTCATTATAAGAATCATTGTCTTGTGTTGTGTATTTTAAAGTTAAAACTTTGCCCAGATCTTAATAGCTAGCTCATAGCTTAATAAATCATCACTAACAGTTATTATGACTTTGGGCAGGGCATAATAATAATATCCAAATTGTTAAGATATATTGATGTTAACATTTCGCTGGATGAACAGTTGATAAAGTGTAAACTATCTATTTTGGACTCAGTTCTAATCAAGTTGACTCCAAATCTTTAGATTCAAATTTCTGAAAAGAGCTAATTTCATTACAGCAGGGAGGGGAATTTTTTTCTGTGATTAATATAAGCAGCAGGACAAAAAGGGTTATATGCTAATTTTCACCAAGTTATGACCAGAAATTGATAAATATTAATTCTGCTGTTTAAAACAAATAAAGAAACAGTGTAGGAGAATGGTTATTATGCTCAAACAGCAGGAAACTCTATATGCTTGCAGTGTGTGCATGTAAAAAAAAAATAAGAATTTGATTTGAAGCTTGTGACACATAAACACGTACAGAAACTTGATCACTTTATTTAGCGTTCATGTAAACACTACATTCAGATTCATCAATTGGAATGAATTCAGTCTGATTGAAACAAAAGTTGTGCACGTAAACATAGGGCTGTGTGTGCAGAATCATTCACACTTACCTGCTGCTAATATTGAACAAGCGCTGCACTGGTAGTTGACTCCACAGGAGGAAATGGTCTTGGCACTTGCTGGACATTCTGGGATGTTCTGGAGCCTTCGTTACTGAAGTTGAATATCTCTCCTCGAAGTTCTTGATGATGCGGTAAATGAACCTTTCATGTGAAATATTCTGTGCAACAATTTCCTTGCATTGAGGCCATTTTGAGGCAATGTTAGCTGCTCTAGTGAAAGAAAAAAAAAACGTTTGGTAATGTTGGTATGCTAAACTGGTCTACATAAAGTCTGCTAAATTGGAACAACTAATTTTGTGCTCTTTAATTGTGTGCAAGTAGTGCTGAGGTCTGACTAAAGATATACTGAAGTATATTTGATTTGTGCTAAAGTGGAACACTTCAGGTATCTTGTATTTAAAGACTGATATTATACAGAAATACAATCCTTATTAATAGTGATATTAAAGCAATAAAATTTTTTTTTTTTTTAAATACTCCAAAAAAGTGTAATTATAATTATAATCTGACTAGTGCTTGTTCACACTTTCTGCTTATGATATTAGTGAAATTGTTAGCTGCTCATTTTGAGCCAAAGTGGGCACTTTACCGCCAGCGATGCCCCCTGTGCTAGAGGTATGATTCTTTCTTGTGCGCGAGAGGTCCCAGGTTCAAATACTGTCCCACTTGCTATGCGCCTCATTCAAGGTTAGGGGTAGGAAAAGGAGTGTAACAATAACAGGGAGAAGAGGAGAGAACTGCCTTCTCCATGTTGCAGGGCAGAAACAAAATCTCAGTGAAACCAGATTTCAAATATAACAGAAAATAGTTTTATTATATAAATTGTGGGATGTAAACAAACTACGGCTTCAGGAGGTGAAAGGTCAAAATAAAAGAGTAGTCTTACTAGAAGGTTTTTAAAGACTAACTTACCTACCTACCATAACCCCCCCAAATAACAACAACAATTACCTGACTCCCTCTCTAATTAAACACAGAAGAAATTATGGTTCTAAAAAAAAAGCGTTTTGCAGCGTCTTGCACGTGAGAGGCACGCTAACGGTGCGCTTCCACTACAGCGTCAAATCTGCGCTCAGTGCCACTGGCAACGCTACAACACCACTGCTTTGGGGCGTGTCAAATTTAGGGCAGAGCACGCCTCTGAAAACAATGTTTACACCCTGTTTATATTTCATCTTCTTTTAATTATGTTTTATTAACAAGGTTCGGGAGAAGCATGATCAGATAATCAACCAATTCAACACAGGTGGAGCTTGTCTAGTTGATCAACTTCATTAGCATGATATGTATACACAGCCAACTCACCTCTGTCCCATGACAGTTTTCCGGCATCCCTCCTCCACCCCAATGCCTTACTTTTAAACTATTCTCATCCTATACTGGGGGGAGTTCTCTGGGTTCGGGCTATATTGCGAGCTCGGAGCCCTCCTTCAAGACAGCACACCAAATATTCTTACTATTTGCTAAATTCTATTATATATGTAAGTGCGAACTCGTGAAATGGCGGTTTGCAAACCAAACACTTTATTGGCGCCATCTAGGTGCAACCTAAAATTCTAAATGATGAAACGTAGCCATAGAGACAGCCCTAAATAAAACACACGAGTAAAACAAACCAAAAATAAAAGGCATCACTTTCATAAATGAAATAAATGAACACAGGCATATACATGTATAGTTTCGCAGTAGGGGAATAGTTTACTACAATATGTTTGTGTGAAGGAATACATTTTTATAATGTGTGTAACATATACAATGACAGTTTAATATAGTTTCGCTCACCCATCCATTTTACAATAAAACTGAAATGTGACTTTTTTCACAAGACATCTTCATTTCAACCTTTAATGAACTATGAGGGCAAAAAAATAAAAATAAACAATAAAATAATCATTAATCATAATCGAGGTAAAGTGTTCAATTAATCAAGGTTTTGATTTTAGACCATATCATCCAGCCCTATAATAGAACATCTGATTTACACAAAATTTTAGCTGATACACAGCTCAGATTGATCTTAAGTCTCAGGTATACAGAAGTTAGCATATAGAAGAATACAGAATACACAGAGAAAAGCAGCCCCCATCATACACAAATCATTCAAAATATGGACATAACAGCTTGAATACATGGTTTATGAGGACACAAATGTGTATACTGACATGGGTAATACAACGTTAACATGGTTTATGAGGATACTTACTGTGTCCTTGAAAAAACACAGGCAGTGTTTTTGAAATTCAAAAAATGTCTGTAGTTTTGTGAGAGGTGTAGAGTTTGGGCAAGGGGATAGCAAATACTACAGTGGCCGAGAAGTGCAAAACAAATCACAATTCTGAAAATAAAATAACAATTCAGAAAACACAACAACAATTCAGAAAACTTTATAACAAGTCAGAAAACACAATGAAAAATCCGAAAACAAAACAACAAGTCAGAAAACACAACGACAAATCAGAAAACAAAATAAGTCAGAAAACACAACGACAAATCAGAAAACAAAATAACAAGTCAGAAAACACAATGACAATGAAATGAGATATACAGCTATTTGCTTGCAGCGCGTCAGTCACGTCAGGAAAGTGAGTAAAACACATACAAACACTTTTTTTTATCAAATAATACATCATTAATAGCGTTTCACTTCCGTGATTTGGTACAATTGCGTTTATATCAGCAGTGAACCATACTGGAGTTCACATGAATCGTACCCCAGAGACCACCCATTTTAAGCAGACTCGGGTACGGTTCATGGGTGTGCACCCGAGTTCAGAAGACAGCGTTCATCATCCAAATGAACCGAACTCTGACATCAATCGAACCCGGGTGTGCACCAAAAGTGCTAGTGTGAAAGCACCCTTAATGCTGTTTGATACAACCCAATTCCAGTTTAATTTTCCTAATAAAAAGACTGTTCAACTCTTAATATTTAATTAAGTTTAATATTAAATTTAATATTTACCCTTTAAATTCTCTCTGCCTCACAACCCACAAAAATCCCAATTTAACACCCCTGCCTTCTTTTTTTTTTTTTTGCATTCCCATTTGCTCAAATAGCAAAAGAAAATTGCCACGATAGTGTTTTCACGACATATATATATATATATATATATATATATATATATATACAAAAAATAATAATAATAATATATATATATATATATATAGAGAGAGAGAGAGAGAGAGAGAGAGAGACTGAACGGCAGTCAGAAGAGAGAACTATGTCAAATTTACCGTCACTCCCATAGACACTGAATTAGAAAAACCCTCCCATTAGCGTTAACTAGTTTTTTGTAATCTGATTCAAAGGTAATTAAGCACAGTGTTGTAAATGTACATTTATTTATTTTTATTTTTATTTAACCTTTATTTAACCAAGCAAATTAATTAAGAACAAGTACATGCATTTTTTTTGTTTTTATTCCATAGTAAGGGAACAATTCATACAATGCATTCAAACTGTGTTACTTTAAGACCATCTCCGAACTTTCTACCACTACTCTGCTGTTCTTCCTGTACATCTTGATTGACAGATGTCTTGTACAGTCATCCAGTCATCCGGTTTGTCTGATTTGTTGTTGTGTTTTCTGACTTGTTATTTTGTTTTCAGATTTGTCATTGTGTTATCTGACTTGTTATAATGTTTTCGGAATTGTTGTTGTGTTTTCTGATTTGTTATATATATATATTTTTTAGATTTGCATTTGCGTTTGTAATTTGTTATTTTGTTTTTAGAATTGTGATTTGTTTTGCACTTCTCTGTCACCGTAAAATACAATTTGTACAGTAGAAAAACCATTATGCCTATGGAGAGTCCCCGTAAACCACATATACAGGTATGAGTGTGTGAATGTGTTTAGTATCTGAACACACTTACTTTACACTTTAAATAGAGTTGAAGAGTTTTCTCATGTCAATGTATTATAGTGATGTCAATATTGCCGTGAATATTATCTTCACTGCACATATCTATCAAGGATTAAAGACTGATCTGTTTTTGTTTATGGAAAAAACAATATATAACAACAAGCTGTCACTCTCTTTCAAATCTCTTTCAAAAAATTTGTTTTCCTTGAGATACTATAACATCTCATGGTTGCTGATTTATCATGCAGCTCAAAGATTTGATTCGACAACATTATTGGTATTACTTTTCAGAATCATCTATAATTGCTAAATTACAGAGATTCACTGTTCCCCAAACATAAAACCCAGGATAGAGCGGCTGAGTGAATGTGGTCTGGACTGTGTGGATGAGGTTCATTGTGTCAGAAACGCTGTAGAAGGACAGAGTTCCTGCACTGTGATCCACATACACTCCTATTCTCCTGCAGCTGGAGGGAACAGGGAGTTTAGTCTCTTTGTTATTGTGCCAGAATGAGAAACTGGAGGGATAGCAGAACAAACTCCAGGACTGATCATTATATCCAAAGAAACACTCATAACCAGATCCCTTCCTGCTGATGCTCTTATATGACACTGATATATTCACATCACTCCCACGCCACTCAAGCTCCCAGTAACAGTGTCCACTCACACTCTCTCTACACAACACCTGAGGATAAACATCAAATCTGTCTGGGTGATCAGGATACGGCTGGATATGGCTGTTATTGAAAGTCACTTCCTCCCAATCAGAAAAATAGAGGAGTTTATGTGCAGTGTTTGGATCCAGAGTGAACTGATGGGAATCTGATGGAGAAAATAGGAGTTATGAATTTTAAATTGCACACAAGTTTGAATTTGTCCTATTCTGAGTCCCAACTCCTCGATCTCCTCACTTTCCCGCCTATCTCAACTAAGCTAAAAAGAAAATTAATTATAATAAAAATAAATATGCACACACACTGTAAACACAACCTGAGCAGTGGGCAGCCATTTTTTTTTTTGCTGCGGCACCTGGGGAGCAGTTGGAGGTTCTGTGCTTTGCTTAAGGATCTCACCTCAGTCCTGGAAGAGAGCACTGTATTTTCACTTCCCCCAACTACAATCCCTGCCGGTACCGAGACTCAAACCCTTGACCTTTGGGTTACAAGTCCGACTCTCTAACCATTAAGCCACAACTTTTTAATTTTTATTGAAAGTTTAAAGAATTAATTAGTCATCTGTATTGGATTATGTTTTTAAATTAAGCTCCAAACGTAGGTTTGCTAATCATTCAGTCCTGTCAATCATTGCGAGCCTATATAAGCAGCTCTCATTGCACCGTCCCAGTGTCAACTCTTCCGGCATCCTCCATCTTCTCCTCTATTTCTGTTTTCCTCCCTCTAGGTAGTACAGTATGGAGGGTTGAACTCGGCGCTCAAGCCGAGCCTCGGGTTCGAGCCTCCATTACGGACAGCAAGCCAAGTTCGTTTACCACTTACCATCAGGACTGGATGGGCAGGGCGAACTCGTGAAAAGTTACAGTATATATGACTGATTCTTGAGACATGGGACAAAACATGTCCAGCAACTGTAACTGCTAATAGGTTTAAAAATGTAAATATGTTCAATTGTAAATGTTATGAGGGATTAATAATAGAATGTATTTAACACAATTATCCCCTTCAATTTAATTTTATAATTATTATATCAAATATTTATCGTCTTCTTACTACTTCTAAAACGTGTTCACAGGGAAGGGTTCACTCATTCATATGCTATAAAATGGATAAAAATGTTTTTTGTTTTTTTGTTTAATGGTGAAAAAGAGCTTGTTTTATCAAAAGCAACACTTAATAATATCTTATATCAAAGCAAGGTTGTTTTCAATGACACATGCGTGTTTCATAAGGTTTCAAAGTTGTGTCCCCACTTTTTGTCAACACCGTCAGACATGAATTAAAATTGGAAAAAATCAGGGATTATCATGGGCAGCTGTTACTATAAATGACCCCCATGCCACAGTCCACCTCTGCAGAGTACATCAATGTCAGACAGGCTCTGGTAAGTTTTATACATTTTAAATCCTAATGTTAATATTTCCTATCACACCCATGTCAACAACATCTTCCACTTTCTGAGAAAATTATTTGAAATGTTTAGATCATTTTATTTTCCTGAAGCAGGTTCTATTAGCATCTAGCATCAACAGAAAACAAAAACAAAATGGCTACTACATGAACTCCATTTGTTTTGTGAAAGAAATGCCAAATTTGTCAACACTGTCAGATGTCACCACAGTCAGATTTTCTGTCTGACAGTGGTGACGGGCCAGTGATGGAGTTGACATTCAATGTTAAGTCATCATATGTTTGTGGTTTTCAAGTCATTTTTAAATATAAAATAGTGTTTGACTGTTCTAATAATCTATAAATACTAATATAGAGCATATATTGCTTTTGTGGATTGATAGTCAGCACTTCTAGTAGAGTTAGGGCTGAGGGAACATAAGATTCAAGGAACTTAAAGCTGAGAGAACACATAACACTGGATAAAACATATCTATACATACAGTTCATTTGCATTCTGATCAAATGTGTTCTGATAATTTCTGGATCATTTGTTAAGATGTTTAAATGTGAATATTAAGATCCTGGTGAATTTAAGTGGATAGAGGTAACAACTAATTGTTTGATTTTTTCATTTAACTGCTTTTAAAAGGTACCTTGTTACCATAGCAGATGCACAGCAGACACACTGTTCTGAGATGAGAAAATATATAATTTGTGTTCCAATGATATATCAAAATACTTAAATGTGAATCTTGAATAAAAGCTTAATAAACAATAACATACTCACTGTTTGTTGTATTTGTTTTAATATAGTAATTGGTTGATTCAATGTATTTGATTGTTAAAATGACCACAAATTCAGGTTTCCGTCACTACCGTCAGATGTTTCAACTCGGTCAGGTCTATGTCACATCCGTCAGATGAATATTTTGATAATATTTGATTATGATATTTTATATTTGTTGAGGAATTGTTGGTCACATTTAAAAATGTAATCTGTCTGCTAACATGAGAATGTGTTTTGAAATGTTAAAAACATCTTGATTGCTTGATATTAAAATAAGTATTGGCATGGTAAAAAATCACATTTTGATAAAAAGAGAAAAGTTGGGAGGTTGAATAAAAGCATAGGTCAGTAGCTTAGTGCATGAAAGATACAAAAATGTAGTTTCATTTGTCTGAGTACAAAGTTTAATTTTTTCAATATTGCACCCTGTTTTGTCCCACTTCTCAAGAATTGGTGATATGTGACCTATCTGGAAAGACCATGTCAACTCGACAGCATCGCGCTGGTAAATATTACCGGCCAATGACGCTTGAGCGTACAAGCTAGTGGTGGAGCCATCTACTACATAGGTCAGCGCCCAGTGTCATTAACTCAGAATCTTTCAACTTAATGAAGCAAGCATCAAAGGCATGCGAGCCTCCAGCCCCAGTCAATGAGGAGCTGATAAGGAACCTTTCTGAGGCTGTCCAGGATTTGGGACTTGACTGGTCGCACCCCGAGCAACCAACCAAAAACAGGTTGGATATGCGTTATCTGCAGTCGGGCCGCCATGTTGCATCCCCCCAGTGACCCGCTCCCTTTTCCCCTGAAGTACACAAGGGGATCTTGTGGTCTTGGCGCTCCCCCTATTTGTCCTGAGCCCAAGCTGTGGGATTGCGTATGCTTTCCTCTGTCAATGGAGCCGACCACCTGGGTTACTGTAAGCCGCCGCCCATTGAGGAGGCAGTCGCCGCACACCTTTGTCCAACCACACTTGGGTGGAAATCCTCGCCATCACTTCCATCTAAGCCGTGTCGCACCACAAGCCACATCGCTGACAAAGCTTACATGGCAGCCGACCAAGCGGTCTCAGCGATTCATACGATGACTGTTCTCCAGGCTTTCTAAGCCAAGAAGCAGTCGAGCAGCAGAAGAGGACAGAAGTCTGTAAGTGTTTTGTATGTTTTCTCATTAGATTTTAGCGGGTTGTCGTTAATAGGACACATTGTTTTGTTTACTGTGTTTACCGTGGTAAACACGTGCTGAAGTTGCGTTTGTTCTCGTGCGTATCGCGTGGCTTTGCAGTTTCAGTTTAATAAGTAGTAAGGTGTGGCCAAAGCCAGGTATAATTTACCTTGTTTGCAAGTACTTGTTAGTAGAAGCAGTCGAGAAGCAGAAGAGGACAGCAGTCTGTAAGTGTTTTGTATCTTTTCTCATTAGATTTTAGCGCGGTTGTCATTGCTAGGACACATTGTTTTGTTTACTGTGTTCACCATGGTAAACACGTGCTGAAGTCACATTTGTTCTCATGCGTATCGTGTGGCTTTGCAGTTTTATAAGTAGCAAGGCGTGGCCAGCTGAATTCAATTACATGGAATCAGGGAAGTATATATTTGCTCAGTACCCAACGGCAGCTCTCGGCAGTATAAATCACACACTGTACGTTGGAGGCAGTGCAATCCTAATAATACTGTCCCTGTCCTCCACTATTTTACTCTCTATTCCAATTGGTCTCTTGAACTCAGCCGTAATTTTATGAAGCTACGAGAATACTTTTTGTATACTCTCCAAAAGGGCACCAGGGTGACACGGAGGAGACGAATTGTTGAATAAAGTCGTTATTTTTGTTTTCTTTGCGTACAAAATATATTCTCATAGCTTCATAAAATTACGGTTGAACCCCTGATGTTACATGAATTATTTTGCTGATCTCCTTGCTACGTTTCTGGACCTTGATCGTGGTAATTACAGTGCTGTCTATGGGAGGGTCAGGGAGCTCTCAGAATTGAATTAATCAAAAATATCTTAATTTGTGTTCAGAAGATGAACGGAGGTTTGGAACAACATGAGGGTGAGTAATTAATGACAGAATTTTCATTTTTGGGTGAACTATCCCTTTAAGTTTCACAGACCATATGGCTACAATAGCTCGGTCCTGCAGGTTTGCCTTATACAACATTAGGAAGATTAGACCCTTCCTAACAGAGCAGACTGTTCCAATCTCACAACTCCTTTTCCAAACTCTTGTTCTCTCCAGACTGGACTATTGTAATGCTCTCTTGGCGGGCCTTCCTGCATGTACTATCAAGCCTCTTCAACTGATCCAGAATGCAGCAGCCAGAGTGGTCTTCAACGAGCCGAAGAAAGCTCACGTCACACCTCTCTTCATCAGTTTGCACTGGCTCAAGGTATTGATGATTGCCTAAAAGACAACCACTGGCGCTGCACCAATATACCTAAACTCGCTAGTTCAGACCTACACGCCCTCCAGAAGCTTGGGTTCTGCAAGTGAACAACGCCTCGTGATGCCATCCTAAAGAGGCACAAAATCACTCTCATGGACCTTTTCCTGGACTGTTCCCAGCTGGTGTAACAACCTGCCTATCTCAATCCAAACAGCTCTTTAGGAGTCTTTAGCCATTTTCAAAAAACATCTAAAGACACATCTTTTTCGCCATCACCGGAGCAATTAATACTAGCACTTACCTATTCTATTCTATTCTGTCTAATTTATTTATATAAATAAAGCAAAATAAAACACCTTATGTGCACTGTGCTAGACTAACTGAGACTTGTCACAGCACTTGCGTATTGTTGCTCTCTCGTAGGTCTGATTGCTTCTACTTTGTAAGTTGCTTTAGATAAAAGTGTCTGCTAATTGACTAAATGTAAAAATGAAAATATTAGATGCTGCAAACACTGGATGAGGAAGGGCCGAACTCTGCTACCTTCAAAAAACTGTGGTCGGCCACCAACTTGGTGCTCAGGGCCACTAAGAAGACAGCCCAAGGAATAGGCCGCGGTATGGGCAGCCTCGTCACGCTGCAGTGGCATCTTTGGCTGACGCTGACCAAAATGAGAGAGTCAGAGAAAGCTCAGCTGCTGGACAAGCCCATTTCTCCACACGGCTTGTTCGGTGATGCAGTGGGCTCCTTTTTGGAAAAGCTTCTGGAGGCTCAGAAACAGTCAAGAGCGCTGAAACATTTTCTGAGGGAATGATCCGCTGCACCTCCACCACGCTCAAGATCTTCTCCTACTCAGCACTCTGAATGGCGTGAAAGACCATCTTCTGGACTCGGAGATGGCCGTGAGACCAAAAGCTAGGCGATTCTGGTATCAGAAGAAGATGGGGCCCCGTCCTTCGAACGTTGCACTGGATCCTCAGCTGCATTCTTGACGAGAGTGGTCTGAGGAGGAAGCAGCCGGAGAAACGGACGACGAGTCATTGTGCAAGAAGGTTCATCTTGCTATGTTGCACCTGTTTGTCCCCTCGCATGTTGCAGGCAATAGGGGGAAATTTTTGGCATGTTCAGTGCCAATAAAGTTTGCAATAAAAAACAAACCAAACAGTGTTCTACATCAGAGCTCTTTTTCTCCTCACTTTTGTTCCCAATCACGCATTATAAGAGTCCTGTTTTCAAACGGTGCTCTGTAGTGCACAAGCCCTGTGCACTCTCTCAATCTAAACACGAGTGCACCCCCGGCACACGCCGGTGGGCCAGTGGGTGCAAAAGACATCAGCAATGCCCCTCGAGTGGTGGGTGGTTCCCTGTAATCAGAGAGCAAACCGTCCCAGACATGTCACAAGGCGCTTCAACCCCTCTCTCGCTTTACAGACACGTGGTGCACACTTCCAGGAGTATCAGAATGGGTGCTGAACACGGTCACAAGTGGGTATACGCTTCAGTTTGCATGCAGACCACCCCGTTTCTGCGGTGTGATGATGTCGATGTGCCAGACAGGGATGCACCGGTTTTGCAAGCAGATATTCATTCTCTCCTGGTAAAGCAGGTAATAGAAGCAGTTCCCCCGGAAAATATGGAGAGCGGCCTTTACAGTCACTCCATCCTTGTCCCCAAAAATAATGTGGGTCTTCGCCCTATTCTGGATTTGAGACCGCGCACTGGCAAAGCACTCATTCAAAATGATAACGGTGAAACACGTTCGTGTTCAAAGGCAGAGCTTATCAGTTTAAAGTTCTCCCATTCGGGTTGGCATTAGCCCCGAGAACCTTTACAAAGTGTGTAATGCAGTGCTTTCCCCTCTCAGGCAGAGTGGAATACGCATCCTGAATTATCTGGACGATTGGCTTGTTATAGCCCAGTCACGGGGACGTGCTGGAAAACCACAAGTGTCAGCTTCTTGAACATCTGAAGCATCTAGGACTGACAATCAATGTGCAAAAGAGCAGGCTTTGCCCCACGCAGAACATCACAGACTGTACTCAAGAATGAATACAGTCTTTGATCAGTGCTCTCACCTCGTTCAAACCGGGGAGAGTGATGATTCTGAAGTGCTTTCAGAGATTGTTGGGGTTTATGGCAGCAGCGGCGGTGATGTGGTGTGACTTGCGAATGCATGCTTAATACTGAGTGGTTTGCGCATGAGTGGTCTCTTTCTGCACTTAAGTGCGAACTGTAGTTTTGATTTAGTTTGCTCAAAAAAGAGTGTTTTGCTTAATACTTTGTTTGTAGATCTGTTGTTTAAATTATTACTTGCTGCTAGGAAGAAATATATCGTTGTCTACCTATTTCTACTTTGTATATTTGTTGTAGTTTGTCATTTTGATTGCACTTACTGGTAATTATAATAATTGCCGTCAGCTAAGGAGGAGCCTGTGTTATTTGCATTGCTCTCTTCCTGCACTTAAATGCGAACTGTAGTTTCAATTTGAGCAATTGCCCTGCTATAGGCTATTGGTTGTGCTAATTAGAAGGCAGCCACAGCTGTTTTCACTGTAGTCTCTTAGACTGTGTATTTCTGTGACGTCTGTGGACTGACGGAAGCGTTCAGCCCTCGTGTTCAGCCTCCTCCTGTGAAGACCGACGAGTGTAAAGACCTGTGACTTTACCTGCGCGACATCACTGAGCAACAAAACCAGCAACGCACTTAAGTATTATTTTTATCTTCGTTTTACACACTCTCCTTTTCTGTCCTCTCTTTTCCACCTCTATCATGTGTTTCCAAAACATTCCGGTTGTCTCTCAACAACGCTCTAACATCACATGCAGATGGCAACACAATCTTGCTAACCTGCATCCTATCTCTACATCTTCCACCTCTTTTTTTCTCTGTGGGTCTCTGGAATTGTCAGTCAGCTGTCACAGTCACTTTTAGTTTTTGGTGACTTAAACATTCTGGACAAGCCTTATGCTACAGACTTCCATTTACTCCTTGCTTCATTTGATCTCAAACGCCTTACCACTACAAGCACGCACAAATCAGGCAACCAACTTGACTTAATTTACACACGCAATTGTATTGCAGACAACATTTTGGTAGAACCCCTACATATCTCTGACCATTTCTTCATTACATTTAAACTACATTTTGCTACCTGTGTGCCACCAACCCCTATACCGGTTACTTTTAGATGAAACCTGCGCTCTCTTTCACCCTCCCATCTTTCCTCTGTAGTATCCTCCTCTCTTCCCTCACCTACCCATTTCTCATCTTTGGATGTGAATGCAGAAACTGACACTTTATGCTCTACTTTAACCTCGTCTAGACTATATTTGTCCTCTCTTCTCCAGGCCAGCACCGGCTGCCCCTTCTAACCCCTGGTTATCCAATGTTCTTCATGAGCATCAGACAAAACTCAGGGCAGCAGAGAGAAAATGGTGCAAATCAAAAGATACGTCAGACCTGAGTATGTATCAGTCTTAGCTTTCATCTTTCTCTGCTGAAGTCCATACTGCCAAATCTTCATATTTCCACAACAAGATCAACAGCGCTCCAGACACACGTAATCTCTTCAAAACATTCAATTATCTCCTCTATCCCCCTTTACCACCTCCCACCACTTCTATAACAGATGATGATTTCACCACATTCTTCACAGACAACACTAGAACAATCAGTAGTCAATTCTCAGCCCCACACACAAAGGACATCAAACCAATCACACCCACTGCTAAAACTCCCATCTTCTTCTTCTGTGCCCTTACTGAGGCAGAAGTATCAAAACTTCCCCTATCCAGCCATCCTACAACATGCCCTCTAGACCCAATCCCCTCACACCTTCCCCAAGCAATCTCTCCTACATTCTTACCAGCACTCACACACATCATCAACACATCTCTCCTCACAGGCACCTTCCCCACTGCATTCAAGCAGGCTCGGATAACCCCACTGCTCAAAAAACCTACATTAAACACTTCACTTACAGATAGCAACAGACCTGTCTCTCTCCTTCCATTCATAGCGAAAACCCTCGAATTAGTTGTTTTCAACCAGGTATCATTGTTTCTTTCATAGAACAACAAACTGAACGCTAACCAGTCAGGTTTCAGGAGTGGCCATTCAACTGAGACTATGCTACTGTCAGTCACGGAAGCCGTGAGGATTGCAAAAGCTGATTCCAAATCATTCTTATTTTCTTATTCTGATGGATCTATCTGCTGCTTTTGACACTGTCAATCATCAGATCCTCCTGTCCGCCCTCTCATCACTGGGTATCACAGGGATTCCACTTCGCTGGTTTGAATCCTATCTCACTGGTAGGTCTTTCAGGGTGGCCTGGGGAGGGGAGGAATCCAAAGCTCATCAACTGGTCACTGGGGTTCCTCAGGGATCAGTTCTTGGACCCCTCCTCTTCTCCATATATACACTACAGCACTGGGTCCCATCATACAGGCACATGGCTTCTCCTACCATTGCTATGCTGATGACACACAGCTCTATCTCTCATTTTAACCAGATGATCTAACGGTAGCTGCACGGATCTCAGGCTGCCTGGTGGACATCTCAGCATGGATGAAAGAACATCACCTACAGCTCAACCTAGCAAAGACTGAGCTTCTTGTCTTCCCTGCCACTCCAACTCTACAGCATGATTTCACCATCCAGCTAGATTCTTCTACAATTACCACATCAACTTCGGACAGAAATCTTGGTGTAATCTTTGATGACCAGCTGACATTCAAAGACCACATTGCAAAGACTGCAAAGACATTGTGTGCGCTGCTGTGTTGTAATTCTCAGAGTCCCGTTCGAACAGTCGAAAGATTCTAAGTTAATGACGCTGGGCGTCAACCTATATAGCGGATGGCTCCACCATCATTGGACGGTAAGATTTACCGGCGCAATGCAATTAGGCTTCAGTATTTGAGGAAGGAGGGGGATAATCCCCATAGTGTAAGCTACACAATGTCTTGTTCCCTCCTTTCAGGGAACCAAGGTTATGTACATAACTAGAGACATTCTAGATGAAGTATCTTAGTGTGTGTCATTGTGTTTGTTAGTGACTTACATTTTAGGAAGTCCTCTCTGGTCTTGGGAACAATGTTACTGTGAGTGTCTGTGAAAATAACAGATACAAACTATAAATATCATATATATATATATATATATATATATATATATATATATATATATATATATATATATTGTGTCTTTATGTTTCTAGAATACATCCGGCTCAGCATCTTATGACTTTGCATGTGTGTTTTGGGACTACACTCACAGATCATTTTTTTCACATTTTGTTTTGTTGCTGCCTTATGTTAAACTGCTTTAAATAGTTTTTTTCCACAACAATCTACACTCCATACACCATATGGAGTGTATAGAGTGTACACTCCATATGGCAAAAAAAAAAAAAAACATTTTTTAACATCTTTGCAAATTTATTCAAAATAAAAACCTAAAATGATTCCATTGCATAAGTATTCATATCTGGGACAGTTGAAATTTAGCTCAGGAGCATTCATTTTGCTTGTAGATATTACTACACTTTAAGTGAAGTTAACCTGTGGAAAATTCAATTGAATGGGTATGATTTGGAAAGGCACACACATCTTAATAAAAGGTCTAACAGCTGATAATGCATATCAGAGCAAAAACCAAGCCCTGAGGTCGAAAGAACTGAGCTCAGAAACAGGTTTGTGTCAAGCCACACATCTGTGGAAGAGTTCAGAAAGAAATTCTGCTTCATTGAAGGGTCACAGAAGCATATAGTCTCTGTTACCCTAAATGGAAGAAGTTTGAAACAACCAGGACTCTTCCTTTCATCCGGATCAGAGTGATACTTGAGTATCTACTCATTTCCCTCGGGGGTTTAACATCTGCCCTTATCTTTCCCTTCCTAATTGCCCTGTAACCACCATCTCTGCACCTGACCGAGGTTAGGTGGGAACTTCCTGCATAACAGTCTCCTACTGGACCTATGATGTTTTGGTTGGTTCTATGGCTTCATAGTGACTACCTTACTGATGGTCTGGTCTAGAGGCTTCTCCGGACAGGGCTCCGACACGGGAACCATGGTGGGTGTGTACGATCCATTTTCTATATGATATATATATATATATATATATATATATATATATATATATATATATATATATATATATATACTGTATATATTATGTGTAGCTCAATACAGAGAGCAGATGAATCTCTAATATTTTACCAGATATCTTTTTCATTTCCTCTTTGCAGAAATCTTCCAGTTTGTGTCTCAGCTGACAGACAGATTCTCTCACACCATCCAAAGAAAAGAGGAAACTGACAGAGATGCTTTCTGTAGATTCAGGAGGAGCTGAGAGTGACTGAAGACTCTACAGAAATAACAATTAATAAACCAGAAAAAAATCTGAAAGACATAGTATAAAGAATGAGAGACATATTTGGTAAAAGTTCACATAGTCTCTTGTTCAAACTTCCAAAACATGACTGCCTAGAAAATAAAAAAATAATAATTAAAAACTGCTTTTTATCAGCTAATTCTTCACTAATACAGTTTAACACATAATTAAATAATAATATGAATAAAGATTTACTGTCTCATGATGCATTATTGAGAGAAGAATTTAACTATATTTATATAGTTTATATATATATATATATTACTATATTTTAGTTTGATCATGTTTTTTGATTGAATATTTTGTTTCCCTTTCAAGGGAACTTCGAACTGCATCCTCTAGGGGTCGCTATGGGGAACGCCTCGTCGTGACCTGTGTCTGAAGTATACATTGAAAAAATGGTGACAGCCCATGACGTCACTACCGGTGCGATTATAGTATAAATAGGTGCCGGGAGAACATGTCATTCTCTTCTTCGTCTTCACTGACCATTTTGTTTGAAGCGTGCATTTCCGTGGTAAGAGTGATCTATATTCCTATCGTTATGGCGAGCACTAGCAAAGCGTTTAGAGGGTGTGTGCATCCGCGTCGTCGTTATTTGACACCTGATGACACACACAATCTCTGCGTTGTTTGTTTGGGCAAAGAGCACACACGCGATGTCCTTGAGGGGGCAATCCACATTCATTGTGAGTGTATTTTAACGAAAAGCTCTGCTCTCGTTTGTCTCTCTTTTCGAGGAAAGGGGGGCAGCCATCTGCTTCCCGCGGCTCAGGACCCACCGCTGCTGAGGGACGGAGGAGGATGGGCTTGTGGGGATCGCAGGTGGATCCGGCTGATGAGTTTAAAAAGGGGTTTTCCCTCTCGCGCTTGTCGGCTGTGGATGAGAGTAAACCTCTAGGAGTTTTGAGCGTTATCTTTCTTACGCACTCATCGATTCTAGCACACGAGTTATGCCAACATCGAGGCGATGCGCGGAAACGACTATGAGAGGATGCCCCTGTAAAAAAGACGACTGGCTAGCTATCTTTCTATGGGTGAGACGTCCTCTCTTAAAACTCCCTCCTTGCCATCTCGCTTAGATGGCAGGGCATACGCAGCAGCAGGTCAGGCTGTTGCTTCGTTGCACACAATGCGGTGCTCCAAGCATATTAGGTTGACCTGCTGGAAGACCTGGATAAAGGCCAGATGAGGTAGCTGAGTTTCGTCGCACCACAGATCTCACTCTCTGTGCTACTAAGCATGGCAGCTATAGTAGGTATTGAGAGACATCTGTGGGTGAACCTGGCAGATATTGGGATGGAAGAGAGGGGTTTTCTTCTCGATGCGCCGGTTTCGCCTTCCGAATATTTTCGGTTACCTCCGTTGAGACGGTGGTCGAGAAGTTCAGGGAGGCAAAGGTGTGCTCAGCGGCCTTCAGTCCTTCTTTTCATCTGTGTTTCTGTCCTTTTTAAGGTAGGTCCTCTGTGAGCACCCCTGCTGGATTCAGAAACCAGGTGCTCGACTGGCAGTGTTACCTCACTCGCTGATATTGTGTCCAGCCGGTATGATAGCCCTGGTTCCGGCTTCATGCTTGCTGGACCATGCGGCCAGGTCAGAGGCTTCTGCGGGAGCCTTCTTGATCATCAGGCCCCCAGCACGACACTGCAAAAATGTTCTGCATGTCCGGGCTCCAGGATATCCCCACTTGCTGAGGCATCACGCGGGAAGTATAGGTGGAATTTGCGAGAACCTTCTTGTATAATGCTGTCTCAGGCAGTGCTCCCCTCGCCTTAGAGGGTCGTATTTGAGTTTGCCTCTCCCGTTTGGCCCAGTACCTCCGGGTATCTGTGATCAGATGCCTGGAAATTTAAATCCATGCTATGGTAAGTGCACACGCTAAGCTCTGTGCACTTTCTGAAACCCACATAGTGGTAAGTGCGCACGTTGAACACTTTGCGCACTTTCTAAAATCCACAGTAGTGGTAAGTGTGCACGCTGAGCACTTTGCGCACTTTCTAAAATCCACATAAGTGA